TCTCAATGATCTGGAGCTCGTTCGAGTGCGCGGCTCTGCAGCACAATCAATCGGTCACCCAAAATCCCCGTTCTGCCGGCCGACTGCCCTCTTCGAGCGGGGTGTGAGGACGCCCCACGAAGGCCACGCCCACAGCAGAATGTTGCTGGGCTTTCCAGGGAAATTAGCCTCTTCCCTGCGGAAGGATATTCCCACACTCACGTGGAAAGCACTGAACCCACGGCCTTCTCCTTCTGCTGACATGTCTGTGCCCTGTGGAGTCAGCTTCCCGAGGGCACAGACCACGCCCCTGGCCTCCGCGTGTCCACCGCCCAGCCCGCGTCTGGCCCGGGGCGGCGGGTACGGATCTCTCGGTGACAGAAGAAGGCGTTATACAAGCAGGCCTGTCCCTCCAGACACCCAGTTGGAGCGGCTCTGTCCCTGGGCCGTGCAGGCCTGGGACGGCCAGGGACGGCGTGGTTCCGAGCCGGGCAGCGCCACACGGCGCAGGAGACTTCAGGGCCAGCGCCCCGGCCCGGCTCCTTTCTTGGAGGTGAGCCACAGCGGCCCCGAAGCCAGGCCAATCCTGCCAGGAGGCACCGGCAGCCGACTGCCTGCAGGGCGTGGGCAGCGCCGCAGAGGAGACCCGGAGAACGCCGGAGCAACGTCACTGATCATCACGGTCAGGAATGCTGTGTAATAAGGCCGTGACAGAGGTGGGCTAGGGTTGTTCAGGCCACTGAGAAAAGTTCTTACAATTCTGTCTTGAAGGTCTTGAGGTTGCAAATGGATTTCTGTGGTCTGGTGTCTGAGTCCCGGGCCTCCACAGCACCCCTCACAGAGACCAGCGTGTTATCCCACGCGTGTTTGTCTTTCTGCTTAACAGTCATCACAGTAAATCACACCACTTCCTTGAATCTATTCACCTCCAAGAAACAATGAATAAGGCTGAGTTTATGTCCTGTAAAATCAATGCCTCTGACAGGTATAATGTTCAGCTTCTTCAATTATGAAAGGCTTTGGAGGAAACAAACCCTTCAAAATCTAAACTTCCCATGTGTAACTAAGAAAACATTTTGGACCTTATATTTAACAGCCCATGAGTTTAACTCCTTGTCAGTATGAAAAGATGTTTGGGACAAACAGCTCCTCTCCACCTCGCCCCTCACCTCTCATTTAGGTAGATTTTATTTATGCATTAGACGACCTTTTTGGCCATTAGAACAATCTTGCTTCGGCAGTTAATTAGCACAAGTACCATAATTTAATACAGTTAATGCTACTTGATGTCCTTTAATGCACCTTCCATTAGTGATATTATTGTAGTATTACCCTGTAAATTAAAATCAGATCAGGACCGAGAGAGCCACTCTTTAATTAAGGTACTGGCACACTGCACTCGTCTATTATTCATTAGAGAAAATCGCCCTGATTTACTGAAGGAGGACATCCATAAGTCAGAATTAGTCCCTGAGGATTGTTAGGAGGAGCGAACACTGTGAGGACCACGGAGTCCCTGCGATTGCCCGCTGCCGCCTCACCCACCCCAATCTCAACGACACGCACGGGGAGGGGGTGGTGGCAGCCAAATAAGCCTGTAGCCAGCGGGGCTGCAGCACTCATGATGGGATTGCCGGTTGTTCCCAGTAAAACAGGTAGCAGGTGTGTCACATGCTAAAAAGAGCTTAAATGTGACTTTTGTCTTGTGACAATCAAAACATCATTTTTTTACATCAAACAACACTAGCCAGTATAAGACATAAACACTGTGTTCACTTGTACCCAAGAAATAAAGAACTGGAATTCATGGCCAGTCAACTCAAAGATCTCCCACTGTGTTTGTTGCGTAGCTTCATATTTCAAGGTGAAAAATCTTGTATTCTCTGACCACTCTTCTGTGGCAATTTCTCTACTGTCCCACGCCAGTCCCTACGTGGTGGTGGGGGAAGTGACAGGCAGAAACGTGTCTATTCAATGATCACATACAGACGAGGAAAGGCCCGTTACATGTTGCAATCATCGAGAATGGAAGAAGGAGGAGTGATGTTGAAAAGGAACCTTTAGAACTTTCTTTTAGCGATCATCAATCAATGTGCAATGTTCCTACAGATGATACGCTGAATAGGAGAAAGACAAACCAGGCTGAAATGTTCAAGGGTAAACGTCTATCAGCTTCTCTGCTGGAAGTTCTGTGACCCAGGCAACAGCTCCCGTCAGTGGCTCCACGTTCCTTATGTAACTTAGAAGCTGGAGACACGCCTGAGCCATCAGGCCTTGCTTCTTTAGTCCCTCCCCTAAGACTAAAAATACCCCAGCCATCTGGTGCCCAGCACAGTACACGCCAACATCAGCTTTGCCCTGAGGAATTTGGACGGAGTTTGGAGGTGACAGAATGGGACCTTGTGGAAGGGGCTCACCTCCAGTGCCCCTTTCCTCCTGCCCGGCCGCCTCCTCACCAGCCTGTGGGCTGGTGAACAGGAACAGACAGTGGAGGTGAGTCCCAGCGAAGGGAGGAGGGCGCCTGCAAACTCCTCGGAACCACTGCAGTGCAGTCGGAGGACCCGGACGAGGGGTAAAGGAAAAGCGGTAAATCTGGCGGGATTTGGCATTTCTAGCATGCCATCTGTAGGGGATAATACGTCTGACCCCAGTAGAAAATGTATAAAAATGCCTGTAGCTTTAAAGTGTATTTACACTCTTAAAAATAATCAGAGAAAACAAAAGTGGATACGCGACAAGAGAAATACGCCCCGACGATGGTTATCGCCCAGCTTCACAAGATTGCCCTCTGTACAAGTGGAAACGAGTGTTTGGGGAAGTTGGGCAAGGATTTCTCGAACTGCAAGGAAACTGAGCTAGAGAACTCTACCTAAAATGTAGGTCATAGTAGGATCCAAATTCAAATCTTAGCTTATTAAGTTTGACATTTATTCTTGTAGGGGAACAGAACACTAGCTGCTTTGTTGTGGAATGTGACTGTTAATAATTTCAACATCAATAATTTTTTTTTATATTACAGTCCCCAAGAATAAGATACTGGAAACTGATCATCTGCTAAGATATTCATGCACATGGTGGCTACATTTTACCATAACTGGCAACCCCCTGTTTAAGGTAACAGCTTCCCAGTGTACTCTCGAGATGCCCTGCTAATACACAAACTGCCTTCTATACCTGAAACCTGTTAGCTTGCTGTGGTACCAGGCACATTTCTCTCAGAAACATTATTTTCCTTTAAAGCAGTGGTTCTCAACCTGCAGGTCACAACCCCTCTGGGGGTCAAACGACCCTTTCACAGGGGTCGCCTAAGACATAACAGTAGCAAAATTACAATTATGAAGTAGCACCGAACATAATTTTATGGTTGGGGTCACCACAACATGAGGAGCTGTATTAAAGGGTCGCGGCGTTAGGAAGGTTGAGAACCCCTGTAAAGATATCATCATCGTACATCACCAACACCTTGATTACACCTGTTCAAAGAGGTTCCATTGCTCAAGGTCCTTGACTCTCCCAGGAGGAACATGAAGCTGGCACAAAACTGAGGGTGGGCGGCCCCCCATTTCTGCCACTTTCCAGAGTTCAGATTCTTGAACCCTGGTCCCCATCCTGAGGTCATGCCATCACACTATTCTGTGTGCCCACTCTGGCCCCTCCCTGAACAGCGGTGACCTCCTTTTCCTTCTGGTGTACAAACAGCACTACTATCAGATAGATTGAGACAGATCCCCAGAAGGCCGGGGAGAGTCAACATTGCACCGGCTCCCGAAGGCTGGCTGCCCTATGGAATGCTGGACGCATTAATAAATCCTGCTTTAGCCCTGGCCAGTTTGGCTCAGCGGTTAGAGCGTCGGCCTGCGGTCCAGAGAGACCAAGGTTCGGTTCCTGCTAAGGGCATGTACTTCGGTTGCAGTTTGTCCCTGGCCCTGGTTGGGTTGTGCGGGTGGCAGCCACTCCATGTGTCCCTTTCACGTCGATGTTTCTCTCTCTCTCTCTCTCTCTCTCTCGCTCTCGCTCTCGCTCTCGCTCTCTCTCTCTTCCTCCAGCTCTATCTGAACAAAAAATGTCCTCGGGTGAGGATAAAACAAACAAACAAACAAAAAATCCTGCTTTGTTTAAATTTTATGATGACTTAGTTAAACCTACATGACTGATGTACCGTTTATATCCGTATCTCCATGCACTCTGACGGAAGCTACCTTGGCTTTTTTAGAAAGACTACCGCCTTGATTTGCTTTCCCGGCCTCTCATTCTGCTGTGCACGCAGCGTGGCCTCCCCAACTGCCTCTTGCTGCAGCCTCCACCGGCCGGCTGTTTGGATCACATCCCACACTTACAAAGTCTCGACTTTGGTGGTGCTGGTTCTAATGATTGAAGTTTTTCATTAAACATCTTCAAGCTTCTTGGCAGCTTGCTCCAATGTGTCTCTGGTACATTAGCACAACCACAGATATGCCTGACCGTGACCGTTCATGTTTAAACTCGGGGTCATGTGTATTTGACTCAGGAAATGCAGGGAGCTTGACTCAGGTCCGTGTTTTAAATGGTTGCATGTCTTCTTAAGACAGCAGCATCCCAAAACCTGAGAAACACGGCTTGCCCTTTTTAAACAAATGCATTGTTTTCCCTAAATGCTTATTGGTTCTGATTGAAAACATGTGAAGAAATACAGTGTTCGTTTCCAGAGATGTTTGTGCACTGTGACAAAACAGAGTCTTGCATTTGAAAACAACCGGTAGATACATTTGTGTTTCTATCCCTTTACTAAGATGCTTCCCCCACCCTTTCGCTTAAATCCTAAGAAATCCTGCCAGGGTCAGTTCTCATGACAGCACGTTTGGGACCACAGGTTACTGCTGAGTAAGACAGGTCCCACATGCCTCAGCACCTCCTCTAGGCTGGAGTTCCTGAGAATATGGTGCAGTAGAAAGTGAGAAACATTGCTCTACGGCTGCAGGGCCGACACCCGGCATTTCCTCTGGACACACTCACGCTCGTTCGCGTGGGCCAGACGCTCTTACCTGCCATGGACCTTGATGTCCGAGATCGCATAGAAGTAGCGTGCGGAGTGCGGCTCACTGACGAAGATCTCCCCGACGGCTGGCCTCAGCAGCCGGATCCTCAGGTCTGTGACCGTAAAGAAATCTCTGAGTTTCTTGGTTGTGTCCAGCTGGCCGTAGAGAGAAGCCATATTACGAAGCCACGGTCCAGCAAAAAACGCAAACCTGTCTTTGATTTCAAAGTGGATTATTTTGCTATTGGTCATATACCCCGTGGAGTACTCTTCGGTGCAAATGATTTCTAAGACCGTGTGCTGCGATAAATCCTTCACGGATTTGGGATCCATGTGGAAAGCATCCAAGCAGTCTGTGGCGTAGTACTGATAGGGCTGCCATGTGCGCCCATAATCCAGAGACTTCTCCAAGATCATTTGGTCTGGACGCCCCGACTCGAAGGTGATGACTATGTTGTCTGTGAGCTCGATGGTTTTGCTCCAAGACAGAGTGATGTTAACCTGGAGAGGCTTGGGGTAGTCCTTCCAGGTGGCAGACTGCCAGAAGGTGGAGGGGTGTCTTCCTTCGAAGTCGAACATCAGCTCGGGGGGATGCGCCAGCTCGGGCGTGCTTGCGTCACACTCGTTATTGCACATGTAGGGGTTGCCCTGCGGAAGAAGAGCAAAGGAGGGCACATCAAACACGAGCTAGACACAGGTCTTGCCATATGGCTCCTGCTGAGTAAGAGGCTAGGAAAGAAAGAAAATAAGAAGGAAAAAACACCTGTTTGCAGTAATCATTTTTTGTTTGCCTTAATGGGAGTCTCCTACTTAATCGCTTAAAAAAAAAAAAATTAAAAAGAGGAAATAAGCTAATTTTCCGGTCTGGTTTCCTTCCATAGGCTTTAAGAAATGAAAACAGTTTATTTATCCCCCATGTGTTAGACCCGAACGTGGTCCCAGAAGCACAAAGACGCCGAGCGACCGCTGAACGGCTCAGCGCTGCCTCGGCTTCTGAGAGGCGTCTTAGGAGAGGCGACGAAAGTCCTCCACGCCTCAAGGACGTTCCTCAAGAGCGCAGTTCCTTCAAAAGCCATTTTTCAAGCAGGGCTTTAGAATTAGCAATGAACCGTAGATACCCGTGTCCTGTTTGGGAAACAATCCCCCCTGTGACATTCGGCTTCTTTTTGCTTTGCCTCAAATCCATCATACTTAAGTAGGGCCCACTTCATAAAGCCTGCTTTTAAAGCATTTACTTTGTTCACCACAAATCATTAGAATGTGGTCTATACTGCGGGCTCTGGGGCTCAGTCCAAACAGCTGCCATCCCATGTGCAGAGGCAAGGGGCTTGCTCAGGGAAGGCTTGGGGAGGGAGGCGTGTGCTCCAGCCTCTCCGAACAGGACCTCCCAGGACTTAGAATGAGGAGGGTGTTGCAAAGAGCCAGGGACCCACCGAACTGTCGCTCTGTGCTGGCCACAGGCAGCTGCCCATGGAAGCGAGCCCTTAGTATTGCTTCCCGCTCACGAAAGCTACTTCCTTCACAGCCCAATCCAACAAGAAGCTAACATCTGTCTCCTTGTCCTCCCACAAGTGCTAACACCCTTCATGCTGCCCTGACTGGCTGCTCTGAGCTCTCATCGGGGGTCCTACGGCAAATAACTTGCTCTCTGATTTTTGTTTATTTTTGTTTAAGAAAACAAGCATGTCATCTGGAGCCAACCATGAAGGTATTTCTTGCTGGTCCTGTCCGGGGTCATTGTCAGTGTAGACGGGTGAAGATCGGCCCTCTGACCTGGCCCCCAGGCTTTGTCTTGTAATTGCAATTAGATCCCGCCCCCCTTTTCCATGAACTGAGAGCTGTCATCATACCTGCAGGATGCATGAGCTGGGTCTCAAATAACGAATTAACACTTTAGACGTCGATGCCCAGTTCCGCTGACTCCTGGAAACGTGAGCCGCACACGAGAATTGCTCTGGCCTCCCCAGAGGCGGCTTTCTCCTACCTGCTCAGCTAATTCCCACTCTCTCCCATTAGTGCAACTGAACCCTGGAGCTGGCAACAGGTCTGGGGCTCACGCATAATTGAGATGGGGCAAGAGAAAGAAGAGAAGGTACGTTATTTGAGGAACAGAACTGTTTCAAAAATACATTCAAGGCATCAGTGATAATGGAAATGTTTCTGTACTTCTCTCTCGAATTTCAATCCCCTATTCCTGATCCCAGCGTCTGTGGCGCTATTTATAGTATCCCCTTCAGAATGAGCCAAGAGGGGAAAGTAAGTTTCTGTTCCAGGTGGAATAAATCACCAAATTTATTATTATTTAAACTCTCTTAAGCATACCAGAGAGCCAAATGCAAAACTCTGCTAACAGGCAAAGGCTTTTTATGGAGGGCTATAAATATTGTGGAATCTGTTGCGATTTATAAATTCCAAATATATGTAAATGCACATTTTACTGGAAGGGGTCAGATTTACACAAATCACACCTTCATTTGAAATTCACTGAAAAAATATAGTCCCTTCAGAATCTATCAGCGTGTAGCCATCTGCACAATCATTAGCTTGGATGCCACCACCTTCCTCCTGACAAAAGTGTCTTCGTCTGAGGTCAAGGGTATGGGAATGAACACAGGATATCAACTCTGCAGGATACCCTAAGGGAGTCATCAGACTTTGTAGCAAGTCATGTTGCAAGCTAGCATTTCTTCAGCAGAGATGCACAGAACTTCTCAGGTGGGGAGAGAGCGCAGAGGAAGAGACACGGCAGAGTGATTTGGGGAACAGGTCAATACTAGCAAACCTGTCTTAGAAAAGATGCTTGAAGATGTCTAAAAAACATTCATTCCTGTATTGAGTCAAAGTGCTGACAATCACCACCAGTTATTTAGCGCTTGTGGGTCAGACACGTGACACATGTTATCCTGGGTAATCCTTTCCATCCCTACCTTACGGAATAGGAAACGGAGAGACAGAGAAGGGTCAAGTAACTTGCCCGAGGTCTCATAACAAAGGCAGTAAGGGCAGAGCCGGACCGCCTTCTCCTACCCCTGCCCTGGCCTGTTCAACTCCCAAGTCAATGGACTCCCTATGATGCAACCCAGCCTCAGGGCAGGGTTGGCTGGCATAAAAGGAAGGGTCTCACATCAAATGAGTTTGGGAAACACAGCCTAATGTCTTGTATTAGAGAGCCCTAATGAGCATGATCACACATGTGAGATGCCATGAAGTTAAGGTATTTCCTTAGCCTCATGCAAACCTACTTTCAGAATCTTCTCTGACCGTGGAGCCCTGTTTGTTTGCTACCCCTATTTCTATAGCACTCAACGGGTGTCCCAAAGAGCACCTTCGAGGTTCTCTGCCCTGCACCCCTCTGAAATGGTAAACACGTGGATGCCGACATGCACTGCACAACCCAAACTCTCAGCCCTTTAATGAAGACAAGCCCTGGGAAAGCAGCCAGTCTCTGCCTTTTACCACAGGGACGTCTGCAGGCTCTGCAGGACAGCCAGCGCAGGGCAAATGCCAGGGAAGGAGGGAATGTCGCTGCTTTGCACCGACCTGCCGTGGGTGCCTAAACGAGAGGAAGGCTCCATGCGTTCAACAACTGCCTACTATACTTGACAATTATTGATTGCCGACTCCATCGCTATATTTAAGGCCCTTGTCTTGGCTCCCAAGACACAGCAGTAAACATATCTGGGTCCTTGCTTTCAGCAGCGTGACCATCTTAGTTGGGGGCGATGCACGGAGTAAACAAACATGTAATGTTTGATAATGTTACATGCTATGGACAAAAATAAAGCCGATTAGGGGGAAGAATAGCTTTGGAGGAGGGATTCTGATTGTAATTTTATATTGGGAGGTCACAGAAAGTCTCTGCTGGATAATGTGACATTTGAACAGAATAACAATTCCCAATTTACAATGGAGATGATCAGAGGTTGACCAGAAGGACAGCTTCATCCTTTGATTTTTCTTTTCTTAGTGGTAATTTTCACAGCATAACAATTTATTGAAATCAATGAGTAAACAAGTCATTTCACATGAGAATCTAAACCAAATGACTGTAACACACACACACACACACACACACACACACACACACACATAAAAGAAAGAAATCAATGGAAATGTTCTTATTTCCTATTCATACGCTTTTAGAAGATAAATTATTTGATATCCATTAACATAACCCTCTGAGATACAAGGGCATTGAGAGAAAATTAGCAAGATAAAAAAAAACAACAAAAAAACCCCAAAACATTATTCTGGTTCCCTGAGAAGAAAGCTTGCATTTTAGGTGAGAGAAAGAGAAAAAAAAAAAGGCCAAAGAAGCCGAAAATGTTTCTACTCTATAGAAAAAAGAAAGCCAGAGGAGAGATTTTTATGCTAAAATATTTAGTGTCAATATTCCACATGGCTGTGATCTGTAATACTGTTGTTACAGAGAATTATCAATATAAAAACAATTGCTGTAAAAGGGATTAGAATAATTACATTTTTGAGTACTTCGACTCCACCCTAATCCTCTCTAAAACCATCAACTAAGAAATGTATATCAAAAAAATAACTTCCCCTACTTGTGAAAGCGAAGAACTTCTTGCTGCTAAATCCAACAGATTCATGCACTAGCAAGTATAAGTAATTATTTTGTAGCCAGCGGGCAGCCTAAAATAGATCCCAAGTCCTGCAAGCAACAGATCCTAACCGACTGTGGACAAATCGAAAAATATTTTATGGCTGTGCTGATGATATTTACGCCATTAAGAGATGCCTAAATAATTAAACAAATAAGGCTGCTACATATTTTTTGTAACAATGAAAAGAGGAAAGAGATTGTGATGTTTAATTTCATTTTAAAAATAACATTAATATTTTACCTCTGGGACAATTGAAGTTGGTTTTTAATTAGCACTTTGTAGCCGAAGTGGAATATGTTGTAATTCTTCCCTAATGTGCTTTCAGAACTTAGAGGAATAAATACATTTTGAGACGTGCTCTCATTGTTTCTAGGATGAAAGTGCCTTCCTTCTGCAACACTGAGAAAAAACACCCGCTCACCAAAGATCTGCTTGACCCTTCAGTTACAAAAGAAAATCCTAGATGAGCAGTATTAATGTCACACCTGGGGATCCTGCTATCTTGACCTTGCCCTTCCTCTTGGGAATGGCGGTGGGGATGCAGGGATTCACACGGGAGGTTTGGCTGCTCACCGTAGGTACATGCCCAGCAGGCAAGCGTGCACATGGGAGCGTTTGTGAGAAGCCTCTGGGGTCACACTTACACCAATTGTGCAAAACAGTGAAACAGAGCGAGCTCACACCTGTTTGCATCTCAGTGACATTCTGGGACAGCGCACCTGGGCTGTTCTCACTGCGATTTGGAAACAGACCTCACAGTAGCTGTGCCAATGCAAGGCTTTGAAAGGATGGAGTGAGTGGTGGTGTTACCACTGGGGCCGGCCCGAGCGGGTCTGCCTCAGGCCTGCCTGTCGTGGTGGGGTCCTGACTTCCTGTAGGAAAGAGTTCATGAGGCGGGTCCAGGCGATTTTGAGGGTACGCTTATTAAAGCTGGGGACAGTGAAGCAAAGGAAGGACTCGGGGTAGAAGCAGCAGCGGAGCCTAGGCAGCGCTCGGCTTTGGCTCCCCGGAAATGTTATAGGGAGA